TTCAAGGTAAATTTGATTCACTTGTCCGACAGTTTTAGATGGTCCCTTTTTTGCAATGATATAGAATATGTAGTTAATATCAATCCAATTTAATATTTTACCGACAAGTGACAGAAACGGATTACTAAAGCATCATGATCACAAAAAAGAAATATTGGAATTTATACAATTTTTCATATATTTATTTATAGAAGGAAGCGTCATTTGCGTATCTAGCTAGAGAGTTTAGGAAAGGACAAGAACACATTCGCAGAAGAGACGGAATATGTGCATGACTCCGAATCTGATGCATGATGACTTTGATGCGTTCTATATATTCTGAAGCACAGAATTTTCTATCTTTGGAACATAAGACAGCGTCTACTTTTATTCTTATCCAGTGATTTAACGTATTAAACATTTATTTAATCCTGAGTTTTTAATTAACAAAGAAAATACAAAAAAATACAAAAGGCCAGAAATATTCCACGTTTAACATCTATTCCCAACACCTTAGGGCTTCAGGCTGATCAGGACTGCTGATTAGTTTTGGCAGAAAGCTACATCATCGGGTTTTGTCTAATTATTTTCTTAAATTCAAGATCGAAAACTGCTTATATTTTGTTGCAAATTCCATTCAAGATGAACCGTTGCCAATCAAGTACATCAGTCCAGATAATTTCTGCATGTTTTTCCCGTACATGCACCATAAATATTTTGTAATTACTTATTATATATGTATTATTAATTAAAAACTATAATAATAAATTATTACTTATATTCATTTGAAAGATTTTATTTTAAAATTTATTTGTATGCTGTATTCATTAGTAATAAATAAATATTTAAAATTACTCATTATTATCTTTTCAATTATAGAAAATTAAAATTTTTATTCGATTAATATTAAGCTATGTATTTTCTGTTTTTGATATTAACATATATTTTCAGATAAGGATACAATATATATAGAAATTCATTTTTAGTTTTAAAATAATTCTTATTATTATTAATTTTAATAACTCATCTGATCAGATAAAAATTAAATTCTTTTTATTTTGGGTAATTTTATATTTTATTCATTAAGGGTAACAACGATTTTAACCACTCAAACTACGCAAACAAAATGGAATGCAAAAATCACTTCACAAATAATAGTATAAATAGATATATAAATACTGCAAATATTGTTTTCTCTAAGAGATATATAAGCTACAGATCTGATAATCATACTCAACTTCTTAACACTAGTTTTGTAACCATATACTTATATAACTCATACATGTTAATATGATTTTGCGAGAAGGAAGATGAGAAACAATATAACAACAAAAAAGTCTAGTATGCATTATGCCAAGTTTGAACTCGGATGGTGATATAATGAGTACACTAGTAAAAGCTACTAAATTACGTGTTATGAGCGGAAAGAAAAGAAAGACTAAAACGTTACGGAAAAGAAAGTTATGCAAGAGAAAACAATCAAGAACCCGTGCGGTCATGGTTGTTGTCACGCCAGCAGACTAACATGGCGATACAGCGGCGAAGAATATAGAACTTGGCTCTTTGTTTCTTCACGACATGACTACACTTCTGCCCAAAAGTCTTGCCAGGCTCGCACGTGCTCTTCTCCTCTGGTGCCATTAAAATATACAAACTTTTAAAGAACAAAAAAAAACTGCAAGAAATGGAAGAGTTTGAAGGTTTCTGCTTATGAGCTTTGATTTTTTTTTAGAAGAGAGACAAAGATGGAGGGTTTAGTATATGGTCGTCAAGTGGAGGGGGCAAGCATTATCAAGAGCTCAAAAGTATGTTTTTTTTTGGTGTAACTCATCAAAAGTATGTTTTTCACTAAGTAATTGTCCAAACCTACCACACACGGTGAATATTTACTTTGTTTATATGCTTGCTTGATAGTAAATATATTTAAAATTCTCAATATTATGGGAGACATTTAAGTTGTTGTGTGCTTTTGTTTTTTTTTCTAGTTAGGAACAAACCAAAGAAACTAATTAAACCAAACAAAAATACAATGAGCATATCATTCCTTTTAAGGTTGCAATGTTACTTAACTAAATATATATACATAATAAGTATTTGATACTGAAATGTGAATGTTAATGTTTATGTAAAAGCGTTTAACAAAATAGTGTAAAAGCAAATCTGAATATTTAGTTTTTACCAAAATAACCCAATAAAATATTTCTTAAAAACTCATGAAATAGACGTACTATGCAAGGTAACCGAAGAAAAACAAAACGCTGACACTTTTTTTTAGTCAAAAAAAAAAACAAAATACTGACACTGTTGGAAAAAGTAGAGTTACACTGTTATGTTATGTCGTGAGGGAAAGAAACAAAAAATGGTGATACACAACTAAATTTGAATTCTTTATTTATTTTTATTCTGGACGAACTCAAATGTAAGATCAATATTTGAGCTACTTAACGATGAGGCAATTGCCGCATTGGCATGCACCTGAACGTGAGTGGTCGTCCGTGTAAGCCGAACCCTACCATGTGTAAGAACTGTCGTCTTCTTTGCAATTTATTGGGTTCGTACTACCTTTTACACGCTTTTTCTGAAAATTACGTATCAAATTACCTTTAGATTTTGGAAAAAGTATATAAGATCGTAAATTTATTTTGTCTCTATTATAAGGAAATGAAACTTTGAATTATTATTTATTAAAATGAACAAATGGAAAGCTCAATATTAATCTTTTTAACACAAAAACATCAATGTTTAAAATTTTAAAATATTACATCACATATATAAAATACATTAACTAAGTCATGCCGATCCATTAATGATTGCAAGATTCAGACTGTGGGACTATTGTTCGAGTTGTCAGTTGTTTCAATAAAATTTCAATTATGGTTAGTCATTTTAAATGCTTTCAATTATAAGAATATATCCAGTTATTTCACATACTATGATGGTCAATCGATATTTCGGTGTGAGATCTGTGATTATTAAGTAATACATGTAAACATGTGTCGATATAATGTTAGTTAGATATGTTATTCATTTTCTATAGAAAATGTATAACTACAAATTCTTAGTAGTAAGCTTTAAATAACCAGTAATATTCATAGTAACCAGGAAATTTCTAACAGAATCACAAGTAGGTAAATTTCTTAAGACTTTCAGAGGAACCTTAATATCATAAAAATCTATATATACATCGAACGAAAAAAGTCTATATAGACGTTTTATAGTTTATTAATCTCCATTTGTTTGTATCAGAACAAAAGTGGTCGATGTTAATGTAGAAGTAGGACATTATCGAGGGTATAGGCGTATAACCGTATAGATATGGAACCAGGAGTATCTGTTTACTATAGGTGAACATGTGAAAATGTTGCGTCACAAGACAATTCAATGTGTTCTATATGTTATTTATTTTATTAAATTACTCAAGAGCTTGCAACAGAATACAAACATACATAATATATCAACCTTAACAAATAATATTAATATATATGTCTGATATTGGATATAAACATTATAAATGCTACCAGTATATTTGTAATGAACTAATTAAATACGGTGATTATATTTGAAAAATTCATACTGTTGACTTCTATAAAGTAATGTCTATCAGCCTATATCAGATCATGATCTATCTAAGTGTGTTAATACTATTGTAATGGAATCGATAATGTATGTGTAATGTTATATTGCTTCACAGTTTATTTGAATCCGAAGTTCTATCTACTATACCATTGAGTCCTTGACTTATATGATTTACTAGGATTTGTAAGAAGAAAAATCCCTGTCTTTTTTTTGTAACTTTGTACATTAGCTAATATAATATATAGATTAACCAAACCTACATATAGCATGAGTGATTTCAAAGATAAACTGACCTAAATTGGTTAATTTAATTATATTTGAAATGTATATATATGATTTTCCTCTCTACTGATTTTGTTGTTGTTTTGTTTTTATGTCTAAGTCCTCACTTGTTTTGGCAAAAAGCTAAGTCAAATCATTGTCGTAGATTCAAAAAGAGTGTTCTCGTGAAATCCAAGCAATCACCTATGGCATGCTCCTCCAATATAGAGCCACCCGTTTCTATTTTTTGGTAAACCAATTTTTTTTAAAAAATTCTCTTTTTTTCTCAGCCATTTCTTCATTTGCTAAATACATGGATCTCCTTACATGGCTCTTAGGGTGACTATTCTCAAATCTCTTTTTTCAAACAAGTCTCCCATTTTTTTCACCTTTTCCAACTTTGATCTCTAGTCGTTACCATTTTAAACTTCTCATATTTTGTATTAACAAGCTCGTTAGCCTTTCTTTAATTTTTTCCTCTCCAAAAAAGTTGTTTTTCTCTATCTATTGTCGTGATTTTTTTTATAAGACGACTAAACTTTTGTTCTCAAGACATGATAGAGAGAAACATATTACGTTTCAACAAATATTTCTATTGGTAGCTTCCAATGTATCCATTCTACTGTTTGTTCAAACAATTCAAATATATTGGCTCGAACAGTTCTGAACTTTTCTCCAAAACTTGGATTAAGAACGATGAGGCGACTTCTGATTGATGTTGGTTGGTTACAACACATCTTGTTCTTCTTCGTTTGTGGCTTGGGGTTTATATCGCTTGCATCATGTCTAGATGGAGATGATTACAGCAAAACAGGAGATCCAAAAGTTCTTGTTCCCGTTACAAACCTTATATATAACCGACTTCAGAGTCTAAAGAATGTCTTAAAGGCTGACATTGATCGGGATTTAGGATATTGCATCAAAAATTTGTAAGTATATATTCTCAAAAAAATTGTAAGCGTATTTGAGCATATACACACATTTTTACATATATATTTTTTCCTATAATTTATTGATATAATTCAGGAAGGACGATTGGGATGAAGCATTTGATTTTGATAAAAATCTGGACTTCTTAAGCAATTGTATCAAGAAAACTGATGGTAAAAAGGAAAACTGGTTCTTTTAAAACGTTTATTACGTCAAGCAATTATAAATTGCGAGTTTAATATTCTTGTTATGTAGGTGACGTCACACTTAGACTATGTTCAGCTGCTGAAATAAAATTCTATTTCAGTAGTTTTATTAGAAGGGATGAAGTAACAACGGTACATGTAAAACCTAATGTCAACTGTAATTTGGCTAAATGGGTTTCCGGATGCGAGCCGGGATGGAGTTGTAATGCAGATGATGATAAAAGATATGATATCAAAAATGAAAAAGTTCTTCCATCTAGAACTCGTAAATGCCAACCTTGTTGTGAGGGTTTCTTTTGTCCACAAGGTCTTGCTTGCATGATACGTAAGATATCCATATACATATACATGTTAACGTTATATCAATATTTTAAGTACTAAGACTTTAACCTAACATTTTCATTGTTGTTTACTCTTATGACTTATGTAAATGGAGCGTGTCCATTAGGTGCATATTGCCCACTTGCCAAGCTTAACAAAGCAACAGGAGTTTGCGAGCCGTAAGTTGCTCATTCTCTAGATTAGTTTACTACTTTTATGAAAAAAAAAAATATTCGCATGGTTGATTAAAGAGTGTTTCATTGCAGATATAATTACCAAATTCCTCCGGGAAAGTTAAACCACACATGTGGTTCTGCGGATAGTTGGGCTAATGCTGAGAGTAGTGGTGATATGTTTTGTTCTCCAGGTTCATATTGCCCAACGACTATTCGAAAGGTCACTTGTGGTAGTGGGTATTGATTCTTTTATCTCACAACTTTTGCTTCCATTGATTTTGTTCATATATAAGATATTCCCAAAATTTGTTACATTAAGAATGCAATGTGATGATAATAACAACAAATACATAGTTTTCCTTTTATATACATATAGAGTTAATGATCTATCTGATCAAACATTTTCATGTGTTATCCAGACATTACTGCAGACAAGGTTCTACTTCACAAAAACGTAAGTTTCTTAAAATCAGAGAAAATAATTTTTATTATAAAGTACATATGAAGTTTATCTAATTATTTATCTTTTCTTGGTGACTGTTTTAGCATGCTTCAAGCTCGCAACTTGTAATCCAAATACTGCAAACCAAAATATACATGCATATGGAGCCATCTTAATTGTAAGTTAGTTGATGAGAAGCAAGTAAACATTTTGCTTTTATTTGTTTTTTTTTTCATTTTTTAAATTAGAATTTCTTTATTTATTGTTTATCTAGGCGTCACTAAGTCTTCTGATGATCATGATTTACAACTGCTCCGATCAAGTTCTCGCCACTCGAGAAAAGAGACAAGCCAAATCTAGAGAAGCAGCAGCGAGACACGCAAAAGAAACAACACACGCTCGAGAAAGATGGAAGACTGCTAGAGATGCTGCAAAAAACCCAAAGATGGGATTAACTGCACAACTATCTCAAACATTTTCACGCATGACATCTAAGAAAGAAACACCTGCCAAAGCATCTGGAAAGTCAAAGGAAAAGAAAAAAGGACCGAGCAAGATTGGTCAAGCTCCAAAGGGTAAACAACTACATACTCAGAGTCAGATCTTTAAGTATGCGTATGGTCAAATCGAAAAGGAGAAAGCTATGGAGCAAAACAACCAGAACTTGACATTCTCAGGGGTTATCTCCATGGCCCAAGACACTGAGATTAAGTCTAGGCCTGTGATAGAGGTTGCGTTTAAGGATTTAACTCTTACTTTGAAGGGTAAACATAAGCAGATTTTGAGATCTGTTAGTGGAAAGATCATGCCTGGCCGTGTTTCCGCAGTTATGGGCCCATCAGGAGCTGGAAAAACTACATTTCTTTCTGCCTTGGCAGGCAAGACAACCGGATGTACACGAACTGGTCTAATCCTCATAAATGGTAGAAATGAATCTATAAACACATACAAGAAGATTACTGGATTTGTGCCACAAGATGATGTTGTCCATGGTAATCTTACCGTCGAGGAAAACCTTCGTTTCAGCGCAAGATGCAGGTAAGTTTTAGAAATTAAAACTAGCGTAATACTATAATACATGGTGCGTAAAGTTGTGTTGATTTTGAAAGTGACTTAAATCTCATTGCACCAATAAAAAAAACACCACATATCTTAAAAAGTGACGTAAATCTCTAAAAATGGTATTCGTGTAACATGTTTTTCTTTCACATGCAGACTAAGTGCTTATATGCCAAAAGCAGAAAAAGTGTTGATCATTGAAAGAGTGATTGAAAGCTTAGGACTACAACATGTAAGAGACTCATTAGTTGGTACGGTTGAAAAAAGAGGAATCTCTGGAGGACAAAGGAAACGAGTGAACGTGGGTGTTGAAATGGTCATGGAACCTTCTTTATTGATATTAGATGAACCTACCACAGGTTTAGATAGTGCATCTTCTCAGTTATTACTTAGAGCACTTCGACGTGAAGCACTTGAAGGGGTTAACATTTGCATGGTCGTGCATCAACCCAGGTACGATATGTCCATAATGTACTAGTATTTTTTTCCTTTTAACGTTATAATAGTCACAATAATGATTTTTTTTTTTTTTTTTTTTTTTTTTTTNATCTTCTCAGTTATTACTTAGAGCACTTCGACGTGAAGCACTTGAAGGGGTTAACATTTGCATGGTCGTGCATCAACCCAGGTACGATATGTCCATAATGTACTAGTATTTTTTTCCTTTTAACGTTATAATAGTCACAATAATGATTTTTTTTTTTTTTTTTTTTTTTTTTTGCTATCAGTTATACGATGTACAAAATGTTCGATGACATGATTTTACTAGCAAAAGGTGGCCTTACCGCGTACCATGGATCTGTAAAAAAAATCGAAGAATATTTTGCTGGAATAGGTATCATGGTTCCTGATCGTGTCAATCCTCCTGATCATTATATAGATGTTCTTGAAGGCATCGTGAAACCAAATAGTGATATCACTATAGAACAACTCCCTGTGAGATGGATGCTTCACAATGGTTATCCAGTGCCACATGATATGTTAAAGTTATGTGATGGACTCCCATCATCATCTGGATCAGCTGGTCAAGGTGATTCCACTGACAATTCTTTCAGTAATGATCTATGGCAAGATGTGAAAACTAATGTCGAGATCCAGAAAGATCAGCTACAAGACAACTACTCCAATTCTCAAGACAATTCTAATCGAGTAACTCCTACTGTAGGTCGACAATATAGATATTTTATGGGAAGGTACGGTTTTTCCTACATTTTGATAGAATGAACACCTAAGACCATGATTAATCCGGAGTTCTTAGATCGGGGTTCTTAGTAGAAGTTATAAAACCGGTTCTTAACTTTTTTTTTTTAGTTAAAAGTAAAGAAACAGCTTCTCAATTTTCGTTAAGAACACCATCTTAAGAACTCCGGATTAATCATGTTCTAATACTGTTCGTCATGTGTACATTAAATCCATTCATATTTATATGTTTCAGGATTGGGAAGCAAAGACTTAGAGAAGCAAGACTACAAGCCCTAGATCTTCTAATATTATTAGTTGCAGGAGCTTGTTTAGGAACTCTTGCAAAAGTGAATGATGAGACGATTAGCTCACTTGGCTACACATACACGATTATAGCAGTCTGTAAGTTTTAAAAGTACACAAGTATTATTTATATTCACGAGAATTCTCAATTTCTTGGAAAATTAACTTCTTCTTTTTCTGATTCTTTTTTTCATGTAGCTCTATTGTGTAAGATCTCAGCGCTGAGGTCGTTCTCTGTAGATAAATTACAATATTGGAGAGAAAGTGCTGCTGGAATTAGCAGCTTGGCACATTTTATGGCCAAAGACACAATGGACCATTTGAACACAATTATCAAACCTTTAGTGTATTTGTCTATGTTCTACTTCTTCAACAACCCTAGATCAAGTTTCGAAGACAACTACATTGTACTAGTATGCTTGGTCTACTGCGTAACGGGCATGGCTTACGTATTTGCCATATTGTACAGTGCTAGTGCTGCCCAACTGGTTTGTCCTCATGACTTTCTAATAACTCATTAGAGTTTCACAACCAAAATTTTCCCTAACCATATCGTATGTTTTCTTGCAGATGTCAGTGTTAGTACCCGTTGTTTTGACTCTCATCGCGAATCAAGATAGAGATAGCATTGTTCTTAAGTATCTCGGAAGTTTCTGTTACCCTAAATGGACTCTTGAAGCTTTTGTCCTTTCAAATGCTCAAAGGTATAATATATAGTTTTAGATATGTGTTCCATCACATAGTATCATTCAAAAAAAAAATTTAAAAAATAGTTTGGGTTATTTGGTTGGTTTAGGTACTCTGGAGTGTGGGTGGTGACTAGATGCAGCTCGTTGTCACAATACGGATATGATCTTAGTGATTGGGTCTTATGTCTTATTGTCCTCGTTCTTATGGGTGTTATATGCCGATTCATAGCTTATTTCTGCATGGTTACCTTCAAGAAACAGTAACCTATATTCCCTGTGATTAAAAAGCGTACATATTGTATAAAATCTTGTAACAAAGTTTTATTTTTTGATACATTATATGAAACTAAATGAGCTATACAAGTAGTTTATAGAATTTCAATGCACATCTAACCATAGAGTGTGTGTTCGTATGAAGAGCAAAAAAAAAAACAGAACCGCAGGACTCACGTATTGTATCACTTAAAAGTTGCGTCATCTCACCTCTTTGGCAAACTGTCATGTCCAAACATGTATTAAGAAGCCTGGAAATTTCTACTTCGGCTATGTTATATATAAACCCGTTCACCAATACTCTCATCACAACACTTTTATCTATAACTTGTGTGTATTAATCTTCTCCTCATCATCANCAGAACCGCAGGACTCACGTATTGTATCACTTAAAAGTTGCGTCATCTCACCTCTTTGGCAAACTGTCATGTCCAAACATGTATTAAGAAGCCTGGAAATTTCTACTTCGGCTATGTTATATATAAACCCGTTCACCAATACTCTCATCACAACACTTTTATCTATAACTTGTGTGTATTAATCTTCTCCTCATCATCATCAAGTCTTGGGAAAAGAAACTGAAAATGATGACAAGCGAAGTCATAACACCTTGTAAGACTTTTTGTACTGAATGCATAAAACATAAATAAAGATCCAAAATGGTTGGAAAAAATAGGTCACAAGATTAGGTACACGATTGATATATCAACAATTGCAGCAAGATATATACAAAAGGGGACACTCTTGCAAATGAGAGTATACACAGTAGCCATGTAATCAAGCGTGCTTCCTCTCTTTCACAGCTCACAGCGTACACATGAATCAACTGTAATCCTAAAACCAAAGGGAACCTAGTCTTCATGACAACTTTTTAGCACAGAGGATGTATGTAGCCATTGGTGGCATTGACTGACCATGCTTATTCTACAGAACCAGTTTCATTATCATCATCTTATCCCATCCACCATATTCTCCATCTCTCTTCTCCCAAACCTCCTACCTTCTTCTGCATTTGCATCTTTACACCTAACCGCTAAGTAAAACACTAACCAAACCGCCATGAAGTAAACTTCCAACGCAGACTGTACCACACAAGCAAACCCTTTCCCCACAACACGAACCAAACCCCATCTGAAGAAAGAACCACACAGAATCGCTTCAAGACACTTGATCTGCACAGCCTGATGCAACATTAGAGATATCAAATAAAGCCCTTCCTTCACAATCTCCCTCCCCCTCATCCTCGGATCCACAACAGCAACAAAAGCATCAAGAGCCAACACCAAACCAATAACCGTATCAAGCAAAAACCAAGCAAACAAAAAACCAGATATCTCCTTCTCAAACCCACGAATCCACGGCGGCATAACAGTGAAAGGCATCAACTTTAACCTCACAAAGAGCCTAAAAAACGAGTACTGATCCTCCACCTCACCGAAATACCACAACCCAAGAAGCTGCGTCAACGCGTCCCTCACCGCCCACCTCATCAAAACAAACCCCGTGACTCTCTTAAACCCTAACCTCGAACCACTCCACACGACGTCAAAGAAAGAAGGAAACCTATCAAGCAAGTCGTTGACAACAGTAACAAACGTAATCGCCAACACCAACGAGTAAACCGTCGTGAACCCCAGAATCACCCACCCGTAGGCGGCGGACAAGAAGCTCACGAGATAAAACAGAGCCGCCGCGTCTCCTCCGCGGCCAAGATCCAAACTTTTCAAAAAAAGCTTCAGATCAAAGTCAAAGTCATCGACTTTCTTCTCGGTTTCAGGTTCTTGATCATGCCCTTCTTCGTCTTCATCTCTAAGCTCCCGTAAGGAGAACCCGGAGCGTACGATCTGAGGTAAGGAGAGACCGTTGTCTCCAATTGGGAGCGTGAATCCCGAAATGCGATCGAATCCGGAGAGGATTAGGGTCGTGGAGTTGAGGGGAGATCGAAAGGGGGAGCCTTGGAGGGATCGGTGGTGCTCGTCTGTGGAGAAGAAGTCGTCGTCTAAGGTGCCGAGGCGCGTGAGCTGGAGGAAGGGGGCGCGACGGGGGTTGTTGAGGCGCGTGGGGGAGGGTTGGGAGTTGGGGAGGCGGGAGAGGAGGGAGCGGAGGGAAGGGTCGGTGTCGACGAAGGAGGTGAGGAGGAGGGAGAAGTGGTCGAGGAGGGAGTGGAAGGAGAAGAGGAGGAGAGTTAGGGAGATGAAAGTGAGAGGGTGCGTGGAGAAGGAGGTTGTGGTTTGACGGAGGAGATGGGAGGTTGTGCGGAGGCGGTTCAGCCGCGCGTGGTGATCGGACATGTCGGTGGTGTTTTACTATTCGCTCCCGCTACTTTGGGTAGATCGAGAGAGAGAGAGAGAGAGAAGAGGAGTGATTTTGTGTAACGCATGTTAATTTGTAACGACTTTGATGGGCTTATATGGGCTTTAATTTGGGCCTTAGATATCTCATATAAGAAATGTGTTTCTTTGAGGGATGTCTCCTTGATGGTTTCATTGCCATCAAGATCATTCAGGGGCCTCGGATGGCTCACATTGATCAAAAAAAAAAAAAAAAAAAAAAGACAATGCAGTGTATATTTTTTTTTTGAAGAAAAAATGCAGTGTATATTACAACATTGAAACGTTAGGATGGATTGTCAAGATATGATTAAGATGAATTACTAGCACGATTTCTCAACAGAGCTTAAAAAGTTTACGTGATTAAGAAGGTGGTTTTATCTCCTACATCTCTCGTACTGTTATCTCCTCTAGTGATTCTTTGGCCTAGACTACTAGGCTCGGTTGTAGGAATAGTTTTTTTTTTTTTTGGGTGTAATTTTCAACTTCATTTTAAATTTGAATAATGTACTAACTTCTTGATGTAAAAGAAATAAGAAATGGGCTTGTAAGTTCAAACAAGGTTTGTATAATACAATTTCGAATGACTTTTTATCAAATGAGTAATGTAATAAAACCAAAAACATACAAGATTAAACAGAAACAAACAAGGCAACAATGTAAGCATCAATCTAGAAATTGAATGTCGCATCACTCCTAATGGTTCATGTCCACATAATTTTTTTGGTATTTTGGAGGACCCATCATCATAATGTGATTGTCTTCACAATATCAGGTTTTGTGTTCCACATAAACTTGTACCAGTACACAAGAGAAATGGGAGACTCTACTCGACTTACAAGAACGTCCACTTAGTGGGATCATCACTATCTTTGATGTGATTGTAGAGAGTTGCCAGACCCTTCTATTCGTGGATAATCTACTAACTACACAAGTTTCAGCCATAATCTTAGTGTGGCTCTAAAAGAAGTTTAAAGCCTAATTGAACAAACCTAAGAAAACACAGAAGTGGGTAAGGAAATCAAGAAAGTTAATGAAAGGTACATGCCTCATTTTCTTTCAAAGATGATCTACTCGTTTTTGTATTCATAAATGTACATTGTTAGACAAGAGAAAAAACACAATAGTTGTTTTTATGTTCTATATTATTGTTTATATATTGTTATTCTTGTTCTCCACACATAAAAAAAAGCAACATGTCAAACTATAATAAACCTACTTAAAATACACCATATCAGGGGTAGTTTAGAGGGAATGCAAGTGGGGCCAAACGAGAAAACCAAACATGCACAAACCTAATATCCTCTTGTTAGGATAATTCCGTATGGTATGGATTAAGACAATTCAATATGGTATGGATTAACGTAATTCAGTATGGTAGAATACAATTCCGTTCCTTCACAAAATAAAAAGAATACAATTCAGTTAGGGTTTTCTGAATTCATGACAGTAGAATGTGTGAATACAGTTTAGATGATTCCACTATGATATGGAGTTGAAATACATGTTTCTAATACATTATATGTATAATTTCCACTTATGTTATATGGTCCTTGTGGAGACTTCCATATACCGAAAAAGATATACCATTCCACACTTTGTAACAAGAAAACTGTTCATTTGAGAACTTACAATGAGTATTGTAACACAAATTTTGAATTTAGACAAACAAAAACCACTTCACAGAGTATCAATTACATCAAATTGTTGGTAATCACATGAATCAACTGTAATTCTAAAAACCATATATACAAGTGGGATCAAACGAGAAAACAAAATATGTCCAAACCTAATCTCTTCTTGTTAGGATAATTCGGTATGGTATGGATTAGGTTCATTCAATAAGGTATGGATTAAGGTAATCAGTATGGTAGAATACAACTCAGTTAGGGTCAACTGAATTTATAACTATAGAAAGTGTGACATTAATATTTTGTTATCTTTTATATATGATTACCTGTTCAGTTTAGTTTGACTCCACTAGATTATGGAGTTGGCGTACATTTCTCTAATATTTCTTTTTATAATTTCCGCCTATGCTATATGGTCCAGGTCCTTATGGAGACCCCCATATACCGAAAAAGATATGCCATTCCACACTTTGTAACAAGAAAACTGTTCATTTGAGAACTTACAATGAGTTTTATGCCACAAATTTGAAATTAGACAAATAAAAACCACTTCACAGAGTATCATTCAGTACAAATTATTCAGACATTTAAAGAAGAAAAATAACTTTGGTATTAAAAAAAAAAACAGAGAACCCCTTTACTCTTAGCATATTGGAATGGGAGCTCCGTTCCACTCATTAAGACACTCCATCAACGGATCAATGATCTTCCCTTCACAAATCGCCGTGAAAACCTTATCAAACTCTTCTCCCGGAGACGTCACCTTCTCTCCGGTCAACAGCTCTGTTCCAAGCTCCTCCCTCACGAACCTATACAAAGGATACGACCTACACTCCTTGATCCTGTTAGGTATAGCCGATGTCCCGTTATCATACGCCGCTCTAGCTGCCTCCACTTCCTTAGGAAGCACCATCTTCAGCTCCTCCTCGAAATCTCCAATCTTGTGAAAGATCGAAGTCATAGCGTTCTTCTCACTCTCACCGTTGACCAAAGCATGGTCAACGATAACTTGCCTTAGCTTCTGGATCAACGGGTACGTGGCGCTGCATGGATCGTCCGCGTACGTGTAGACTTGTTCACGGTCAACGACTTTGAGTAAATCTTTCTCGCAGAAGCGAGATGGGTGAAGCTCACCGTTGACTCCAGTGGTTAGAACTTTCTTAGCCACTTGAGAGACAGTGTTCTTCACAGTTTGTTTTAGATTCTCTTCCAAGTGTCTTAGATCCACAGCTTGGCAGATTCCGACAAGGAACGTCGTCGACATGAGTTTGAGAATGTCGACAGCTTCAGAAGTCTTGCGCGATGAGATTAGTCCTAAAGAGTTAACATCTTGGTTGTGTTGCTCCGCTGATTGAACATGGCTTGTAACTGGATTAGCCAAGTACTGAAGCTCTGAGCAGTAGGAAGCCATAGCGATCTCCGCTCCTTTGAAACCGTAGTCCAAACTAGGGTTTCTAGAAGCGGTTAGGTTAGAAGGAAGACCGTTGTTGTAAAAGTCGTTGACAAGCTCGGAGAATTGAGCGAACATGAGCTTCCCTATCGCTGCGATAGCGAGACGTGTGTTGTCCATAGAGACACCGATCGGTGTCCCCTGGAAGTTACCTCCGTGGATGGCTTTGTTCCTCGAAACGTCGATCAAAGGGTTGTCGTTGACGGAGTTTATCTCACGCTCGATGGATTTTGTCGCGTAGCGGATCACTTCTATCTGAGGACCTAGCCATTGAGGTGACGTGCGGAGCGCGTAACGGTCTTGTTTAGGTTTCTGTAAGGGATCCATCTCGTGTAGCTTCTTAGCTAGCTTCATGTATGAGCTTCCGTCGAGGATGTGCTCCATGATCGCCGCGGCTTCGATCTGGCCGGGGTGGTGCTTCAGCCGGTGAGTTAAATGGTCGGTGAACTCCGGCTTACCGCTCATAACCTCGGCGAAAATCGCTGACAAAACCTCGGCCAAAACGGAGAGGACGTTGGCCTCGAAGAGAACCATCGAGGCCATTCCGGAGCCAACGGCTGTGCCGTTGACTAGGGCAAGACCTTCCTTGGGCTGCAAGTCAAAGAATCCTGAGGGGATTTTTGCCATCTTGAAGGCTTCCTCTGCGTTCAAGGCTTCCCCGTTGGGACCGGAGGCTTTGGAGTTGGGGCGACCGGTGAGGAGGCCGGCGATGTAGGAGAGGGGGACGAGGTCTCCGGAGGCGGTGATGGTGCCGCGGANCCGTTGACTAGGGCAAGACCTTCCTTGGGCTGCAAGTCAAAGAATCCTGAGGGGATTTTTGCCATCTTGAAGGCTTCCTCTGCGTTCAAGGCTTCCCCGTTGGGACCGGAGGCTTTGGAGTTGGGGCGACCGGTGAGGAGGCCGGCGATGTAGGAGAGGGGGACGAGGTCTCCGGAGGCGGTGATGGTGCCGCGGAGAGGGAGAGAAGGGGTGATGTTGGTGTTGAGGAAACTGGTTATGGCCTCGAGGATCTCGAAACGTATGCCGGAGTAGCCTTGGAGGAGAGTGTTGATACGTACGAGCATGGCGGCTCTTGTGGCGGAGTGTGGTAGTGTGTGGCATGTTTCTTTCGTGCTGCCGAATATTCCGGCGTTAAGGAATCTGCAAACAAGCAAAAACATTTAGTTGCGTGTGGGTTAAGTTACCTAATTTAATTAAAGAGGTTATTTACGGTGCTTTAATAATTAAAGTTTATGTTATTTTACTTAACTGTACATATTAAAAATATCATGGAGAATAAAATATAAGTATAAAATAAATCTTTTCATAAATTCATCATTAAAGTTTATGTTAACTTACTTAAATATTCATATATATATATATATATATATATATGTTTAAATCTTATATATTAAAAATGAAGTTAATTGGAGTACAAAATGTTGATTTTAAAGTATGTTTCATATATTAAGAAAATTTATTATACCGCATTCAATTACTAACCACCACGCTTCTACCTAAGCTACTAACCATATTAAATTTACATCAACCTAATTAGAGAAACAATCAAATTTATTACCACCAAATAATTAATTTACCTTATAAGCTCCTTCTGAAGTGCGACACCGTTTTTAGTTCTACGATGAGAAGTAGCACCAAAACCAGTAGTAACACCATAACTATCAGTGCCTTTGCCCATACTCTCCATAACCCAGTCACTGCTCGCCTTCACACCGGCTCTTGCCGTCTCCGACAGCTCCACCTTCACACCATTTCCAACGGTGGAGAT